TCCAAGGACCTAAATCCCCTTTTAACTGTTTAAATATTTACCATCAAAACACATTTTTCTGTATATTATTAACAATAGCTTTATTTTACATTATATTGTGAAATAATTAAATTTTATTAAATTTTCTTATCTGAAAGATTGCAGTTTGTTCATGTTAAAGATAAATATTCTTCATGCTCCAGGGTTACCTGTGGAGTACCACAGGGATCAGTGCTATGACCAATTTACTATATATAGTACCAATCGGTAGAGTTATTAGACAGCATGGGATTCATTTACACTGGTTTGCTGACGATACCCAGCTATATCGGTCTTTAAATCCAGATGAAGTTAATCCATTACATAGATTACAGGCATATCTTCAAGATATAAAAACCTGGATGCAGACAAAACGGCATCCAGGTTTAACACCTTCAGATATAGATGGTAGAGTTGGGCCTGTTTTTGAGTGTTTAGCTCTGTTTCTCTCCTAGATATAGTTATGGCTGTGACAAAACTGCATGTGCTCTTTCATCCCTTTGACATGAAAACCTGCTCAGAGGTTGTCTGCTTAACTGTTTCTCTCCCAAAATAAGCCACTTGTGGTGCTAGTTAACCATTACATTCTCTGACATATAGAGTATTTATAGATCAGTGCTGCTATGTTCCTTTTTCATGTCTCCTTGAACCCCAGTCAGCCCCAGTAGAAGGCTGTTCACACTGAGCCTGACTCTGTTCGAGGTTTCTTCCTGTTAAAAGTAAGTTTTCCTCTCCACTGTCTCTGCATGCATGCTCATTAAGGGGGATTGCTGAAGAGTCAACAACACAGTGCAAATGAATATGTACACTCATCCATGAATTTTCTCTGTAAAGAACCTTTAGATGACATGTGTTGTGAATTGGCACTATATAAATAAGCGGAATTGAATTAAATAGAATATGTAACATATACAAATTTTAACTAAAGCACTCATATTTTTAAAATGTGTTGTCATTAACTGATTAAATGTTTTGAATTTATTCTATCTATCAACTTAACTAATCCATGTTTAGTTTATCAATGAGTCCGTTTTAAAGGGGTTTGTTTAACCAGCCATACTGTTACTTAAACATAATGGATGCTTTATAGAATCTACAAGATTTATCAATTTGTGTATTATCCTTACAGGAGTTTTTCTTGGTTTCATAAGGGCAATAAAGATTCTCGATTATCTCATTTACTGTATGCTCCTCTGAATAGATGTAGGAAAACCTGTATGAAAAAATCTAAAAAAAAAAAAACTGAGAATTAGTTTGAAATAGAACATACAGTATTATGATTAATAAATTGTATACCTATATGTGGTTAATACACATATTTAATTTGTAATATATTAATGTGTGCACTCGTGCAACATTTGAACAATTCTATAAGGTAACATATGCTTAAAACATTTGTTGATTCATGAATAAAATAGGCAATAATTAAGGAAAAATATATTTATATATTATAAAGTACACATGTGGACTAGTCAAAAAATACATGTTTACTATTATAAATATGTGAGTGTGTGTGTATGTCATTACGTTTCTTAATTTCCACCCTTTTTTCTGTATTAATTTATTATTACTTATATTTAATACTGCTGTGATACTAATTATATTTTGTGGTGCACCATATCTCCATACTGGCACTTAAAATTATAATAGTTGGTCTAAAGATCATCTGAAAAGAAACAGATCTGTTTACAGTTCAATGCCTTTTAATCATTCATTATGTGAATAATATGGAAAAGCGATAGAGTTTTTATGGAGACTGAGCTCTGATGCTTCCATGACTTTACTCTCAATTGGTAATTAATAATTCAAAACCACATTTCATCTAAATTGACTTGACGGTCAGAGCAGAGATGCTTTCCACCTGGAGTGATTATCATAAAATCACACTCTTCCAGTCTTATGCCACTATTAATATTTTATTGTTGAAATCTCAGCCCATTTTATATAAGTCATTAGCAATAAATAAATCAGCCACATCCTGGCAGGCTGCAGGCTTATTATGGTCACAGTGAATAAAAGGCCAATCCACTCGGATTTGTCTGTTTTCATGAAGGAAACAAAGGAAAAGATTAACGGCACTCATGGGTGATGGACAACAGAAGCTATAAGATTTATTTTTCAATTATTTGCAGTTCTGTAATTAATTACTTGACTTCTTTGTTCAGTTCATGTGTCAATTTGCAAAATTACTGTTTCTTTAAAGTTTGCACATTTTGCATGAGGAATACAGAAAGCAAAGCTTAATCCATCATCTGAAGATGGTAAGGGAGTCAGCAAAACTGCAAACTGTGAGAAAACTGTTGAAATGTTTGAAAAACCCAACATATTCAAAAAGTCTGTGATCAATGAAGAGAAATTCATCCAGTTTCAACTTGGATATAAATTTATGTTTTCTCACTTATATTAATATAATGTCCCTTTAACCCATTTTGGAAGGGTGAAGCTAATCGGTTATATGTATAATTAAAATATTATTGTAGAAAATGTTTATTAAATGCATTTATTTATATTACCCAAAAATGTATCTTATGATTTACTTTTGAAAACAATAAAGAATAATTAATAAGGATGGATACATTGAGATAAAAACGACCATAACTATATAGTAAAGTGATTTTTCAGTATAGAATAAATGGATTTTCAAACGCTGGTTTGACATAAAAGCAACAGTTGTCAAAAAAACAAATGTTTTGATTAATAATTTTTTTAATAAAGGATACAAATTCAGACATTAAAGGGTTAACGTCATAAAATAAGTAAATATTTTTATGGTTTTACAAAAAAAAAAATAGATTTAGGACTTTATGAATTTCAAGCTGCACTTACTGGACATTTATGTAAATACATAAAAACTATTTAAAATATCAAGATTGTGTTCATACTAAATGCTGTGTGGTTGATAACTAATAACACGACACTGTGATCATTCATACAAGAAATTAAGCCAGTATAGTGCTGTGGTCTGAGTTAATGAGGTGATACATGGAGCCATAATTAGGGGAACCTAGAAAAAAGAAAACAGACCCAAACATAGAATAGGAGCTATTATAGAAATGTTTAGATCATAGGTTAGTCTGAATATGAGTTATTATGTAAAGAAAGATTAAGCTTAAGATTTAAAAGCCATGAATGCTGATATGTTCAGTATTCAGTATATTATGTCTCCTGGATGGGTTGTTCTGAAACAAATTTCATTGCACGCTTTACGGTGATAAATAAAAGCATTTTGTTTGTGTTCCAGTATCTGTCCTCCAAAGACGTCTCCATCCATGATAAATTGTAAAGTAAAGCAGTCTGCTCATCGGAAACAGACACAGGTTTGAACATTGACATCTATTATGTGTCAGAAGAGAAATAAGAGCAACACATGGAAGCTGTAGTCAGTAAATGCTTTAATATCCAACCATGATTCAGCACAGTACACCAGGGAGCAGCTGATGGGTTCAATACAAGTTTATTCAGCCTGAAGCCTCACATCTCAGGGACTAACTGTAATTACAAGAGATGGCTGAGTCTGAAGAAGGCTGTAGGAGCGGATTTATGTCCAGGATCAGAACAACAGGCTCAGGACAGGCGGCAACATTTACAAGATACTTCACAACACAATGCTTCACAGCACATCACTGTACACTTACTGCAAACGTATAAAAATGACATCAGGGCCAGGTCACTTGGCCCTGTGAAAGTAGAACAAGATCGCCACCCTCTGGTTGCATCATCTGCTCAGGCAAAAACAGAAAAAAAGCCTCAGCAGTTTGACTATCTGATAACACTAAACTTAGGAGCAGCAGCTATCTATCTATCTATTAACTATCTGAGCAACTATCTACTGTAACTGTCTAGAGCGAATATAAAAAAAAGGATATTAATAACCCGGCTGTCGGCTTCTGATGGCTTTCAAACAACAGATTGTTCCTGTATAGATTTAAAGGACCATACCAATGTTTTTGCTGCTTTTAAATACAGAGATCATTGCAGGTGCTTGTGTAACTGCTGCTATGTTAGAGTGTTTCAGCTTAGCTTTTGGAAATTATCTCTAGAAATAACTTGATGTTTTTTTAAACTCCATATTTTATGTTTTAGTCAAATAGTTCATCTTTAAACAACTCCATAAATATCAGGGCTCTTACACACTGTTTATTTAAATTATTAAAAGTCCTTACTGGTGGCCTTCATGTGAACACTTCTTTACTCTTTTTGGCCTGTTAATGTTCATTTTTAATGTTTTGCAAATTTATATATATATTTTTCCAGCATTTTATTGTCATTAAACTGTCACAAGCAGAGCAACAAAATAATTCTCTGCATTTAACCCATCCCTTTGGGGTGCTATGGGCTGCCATTGTGCTGCCCCCGGAGCAGTATGGGGTTAAAGGTCTTTACAAAGTCTCTACAAAGGCCCAGAGTGGCAGGAAGGAAGGAAGGAAGGAAGGAAGGAAGGAAGGAAACTAAAGGAAGGAAGGAAGGAAACTAAAGGAAGGAAGGAAGGAAGGAAGGAAGGAAGGAAGGAAGGAAGGAAGTAAAGGAAGGAAGGAAGGAAGGAAGGAAGGAAGGAAGGAAACTAAAGGAAGGAAGGAAGGAAGGAAGGAAGGAAGGAAGGAAGGAAGGAAGGAAGGAAGGAAGGAAGGAAGGAAGGAAGGAAGGAAGGAAGGAAGGAAGGAAGGAAGGAAGGAAGGAAAACAGTACAAACAATAAATGGGGAAAAAAGGATAAAGGGGATGGTATAAAAAGTAGCGTTAAAAGATGAAATGAAGACAGAGCAGAGGAAAGGAGGGAAAGTAAATTGGAGGAAAGTAATAAATGGTGTAATGACAGAAGGGAAGACAAAAAGATTAAGCATTTAAAGAGGAGCGACCTGAAGGAAGGAAGGAGGAACAGACTAAGGAATTATAAAAAGAAGGGAGGAAAAATAAAGGATGAAAGGAGGAGAGATAAGAATAAAAGAATGAAGTATGGGACATATATTTCCTTTTCCTATTTTATTCTTATTCTTATGCAGACCTACAAAATAACTTGATGAATCAGCAGACTCCAGCTTCCTCTGGATGTAACCTACTGCCTCACAGGTTGGGAAAAAGTTTTCCCCTGTGGTGGATAAACTAACTAATAGTAGCTTTTATATTACAACACAAGCTTCCCTTACTGAAACACTAAAAACAGATACTAAGTGAGAACATGATGCAGGACAGCAGCTATTAATTTGAGCAACACATACTAAAGCAGTGGTATGGTCCTGAGTTAAGAGCTAAATTACCTACAGCACTTTGACTTTTAACTTTGTAAGACAACACCCTGAAGAAATGAGCCCTGTTTGAAAAGTGAACTGATATGAAGTTTTATATAAAAGCTAATCCAGGAGGAGCCCGGCCTGCTGCAGGAGTTTATCTAAGCCACTCATCTGAGAGGTTTTCACACAGATTGCCTTAATATTAGAGGATCTGTTTGTGGGAATTTCACTTTCCTAATGACCCACACAGAGGAAAACTAAAGTTAGTGTGAAGTTAGATTAGCATAGATTAATATGTGACCAAGTTCAGTATGTCGCTCAGATAGTATTTGTCCTTTGATTACATGCTGCTCTGATTTGGCCCTGATGATTATCATGCTTTTTAATCAGGATTATCCCATACATCATATCAATTTCTGCGTCTTCATATCTCAGATCCAAAACGGTTCAATAACGAAGGTGGTCACATGGCACAGGTGGTAGCCAATGGCATGGCTTTAATCAGACCTCAATCTGTGTGTTTTTGTCTGCATCCTCTGTGTAAAACATGTGTGTGCTCTTGAAGCTGGCCTGCTGATGATTGTGTGTGTGAGCATGTGTGTGTTTGTGTGGGAGCTCCCAGTGTGTCTCAGAGTGTTCGTCATGTGTGTGTGACATGTCATCATCAGAATGCGTGGGATCGTTTTGTTTCGCTGCAGGTGCACGCGCCTCCTCTGGATGACCGTGTGTGTCGATGACTTCATTGATCCAGCTTCTGAAGCGGCTCACCCGGGTATACAGCGCAGGGGAGGACGGGTCAGAGCAGCTATAGCCTCCGGCGACAATCCCAGCGACGACCCATCGGCCCGACTCCTCCTGGCACAGCAGCCCGCCTCCCGAGTTGCCCTGGCAACCATCCCCGTGAATGAGGCTGGTGTCTGGGGGGCTGCCGGCACACAGAGTGCCATGACTGGAGAAGCTGTTGCCGAAGCGCTTCTTACACTGCCAAGACGACATCAGAGGGACCCAGGAAGCAAGGACAGAGTCTGGGAGAAGACAAACGCAGGACATCAGAGGAATAAAGAAAACACTGAACATTCCTTCCTAAATGTCCTGACCTGCACTGAGGATGGAGTTCCTCGCTGCTCAACAAGGAATGTGACAGCTTTAAAATGGATTCATGATTGCTAATAGGGCAAGGCTCTCCTTCTGGGACCCCCTCAACTCATTAAAATACAGAAAATGATCAGAGAATCTGGGTGAAGGAGAACATACAGTACCACACAAAGAACGACCTATGCTTCTTTTGCACTGGTACTGGCTTTTTTTTTCTCTGCTCGTACTTTATCCTGAGCAGGGATGAAAAAAGCCTGTGCTTATACTAATAAAACAGAAATGGAAAGTTGGAAAATTGATGTGGCAGAGTAGGTTTGCCCAACCGGAGCCAATGGAAAAAGGTCCAATAGTGTCCTTATTCTTAGCAGCAAGCAGCAGGTATCTGCTTGGCATGCATCAAAGGCCATTCCCACTCTGTGTGCTAAGAATCAATAAAACTCGTATTCAGGGCCAAACCAACCAAGTGAAAATGTATGTTTCTATTTATTTTGCTGTGAGTGCTTTCCTTTCTGATAGCGCTCTGGGCAACTGCACTTATGGTCCATATCAAAAATATCTTCAATACATAAATGTTTACATACACCCAATGAAAATAAAGATTTTTTTTTTAATTAATTTATTTTCTTTTCTAAAATACAGTAACATTAAAACTCGTTATTTTCCTATTTTATTCGTAATTGTTTTTTGTTTTATTCTTTAAGATCAAATAATCATCTGTCTTTAATTCTATGATGGGGTAAATACAAACTTATAAACTATAGAAAATGAACAATGAGACTGACTGAGACTGATTATCTATTTATGGTTAAAATAATAATAATAAGTCAAAACCTTTTAGTTTTATAATTCAACCACCAGATGGCGCCACAGGGACACCACCAGAGGCACACTTAAAAAGGAAAAGAAAAAAATGGTCACTTGGGTTATTTTCTTAGATGTGGCTATTTTAAATGAATACATTTATCATTCTGATGTTGATTAAATATTTGTAAGCTATCACTATTAGTAGCAGCAGTAGTATATATATATTTTTGTCTTAGTTATAGGTAATTAGAAAACAATCAATACAATTTTGAGAAACATTATGCTGTAGAGACTTATACAATATTAAAACCTATAAAATATAAAAAAAAGGACTATTTTAATTTTAATGAGTTTTACTATTGAATCTTAATAAAAGGGAAACTCTCGGAGATGGAATATATACTTCAAGGTAACAGATGTTTAGGCTTTGTTTGAGTTTAATGATAAAAGGGAGAAAGACCACAAACCTGGTCCAGTCCAGCTTGTGGTAACAATGACAACACATGATGATGATGCAGTCTTCACCCCTGTTGCAGAGTCAGCAGCAGGTAGACAGGCTGCATTTGTGTCTACCTCGAACGTCACACAGTGGCCCTTGGCGCTGGGCAGCTTGAGCATGGCTATGTCATGGCCTCCGCTCTGACCCTTGAACTTCCTGTGAACCACCACCTGTTCCAGTTTGAGAGTCTGCTCCGACGCCCCGACGCGTACCGCATATGTGGACGGGTCACTGCCAAACCTGCAGCACAGACATGGAGGAAGCTTTAGGGGAAAAAAAGAGGAGGATGTTACCTGCTGCAGAGGACAAATAAAGCTTTTACCTGGTGAGACAGGAGGCAGACGTCAGCGCCCAGCAGGGGCTGATCAGAGTCCCGCTGCAGACAGGGCCGCCAACGGCTTCTTGAGACTGAAGCCACACAGACACCTGCCAGGGCCAAGTCGTCCTAGGAGCAAAGAAATATATATATTTGTAATTTGTACTTGTGGTTTTAAAAGGATGTATCTGATCACCTTTATCCTGTAGTGTCACGTCCCACATCAGCTTTACATCTGACCCATATGCTCACTCTGTTTAATCCCTCTGTATTAAAATAATTGTAAACCAAACCCTCATTAAGTAAACCCAGTGTGTTTACAGGTAATTACAACTCTGCAGCTTTAGAAATGAGCAGATATGCATTGTTTTAATATTTTTTATTAAATCTCCTTTTAATTGTTTTATTGTTGTAAAAAGGTTTAGAAGTAAACCTGTTAAAAACAATAATTTAGGGGTTAACTGTACTTTAATATGATCAGTTGGCATTTATCTATATATAGTGCTTATTTCTGTGTTTTTGTTTCCAAATAGCTTCTTAAAATAACTTTCCCTTCGATCTCTCTCCCAGTAATTTTCTACTCAATGCCAAAACAAAGAAGCATCAGAGATGGAATAGTGACACTGAACTACCTTTTTTCACCACTAGATGGAGTTATAGTGACACTGGAACCTTGTCATGTGCTTTTGTACCTTTGTTCAGCATCAATGCTCACCTGATTGTGTTCCCCTGTCCTTGATTTTCTTGCTTCCAGTCATCCTCCACCAGCTTCCTCAACCCACAGCTCTCCTCCTGAGTCTTTACAGTCGTCTCCCGCGGCGTTACGTCACACCTCACACCTGCGTCCTGCCTGTGCCTGCAGCCCTGGATGTTCAGGCCAAGTGAAGGGCACTCTCCTAGGAACTCCTCCTTCCCTGTGCACCTCACCTGATCCAGGTGGATGGGCCCTTTCCCCTGACTGAACCCTCTGGCTGCTACCGCTCCACCACTGAGAGACACAGATATCGGCGGCATGTTTGTTATTTCTGCAGTTTTATTAGAACCCAAAATGTACGATGTTTTCTATAAACACAAACCTGTGTCCAAGTTGTCTGCAGACCACTGCGGCATTGAGGTCATTCCATCCTGAGTCACAGATACTTCCCCAGTCTCCATGGAGATACACCTCGACGCGACCTTCCTTCCTGCTGCTGCCACCCACGAGACGCACCAGGGGTCCTGGCAGGAGAGAAAAAACTCTTATTTGTATTCATATTCATGCCTGTTCTTCTGCAGGGCCCAGACTGTTGGGATGTTCTGATCTACTTGTCCGCTGACGGAGTTAAATGTCATCTGGTACCTCTGCACTGGAAAGCTATTCTCATTTTAATGACCTGAATGTGTTGACACAGAGCAAACAAAGCTGTTATTTCTCTACAGCTCACAGCGCTTTGGGATACATCTGAAACAAAGAAGTGTGGCGACATCGAGAAAATATAAACTTACACTCAATGCCCATTATAAGTATTAAAACTCCTATAATTGTTTACATTTTGAAGATGAAGATGTACACCTGGTGGCATGAGTTAAAAAAGTGACAATTTCAGTGCCTCAATTATTCTATGGCTTCTTTATTAGTCACTCAGCCTGTGAAATATCTGTGTCATAACAACCCGTCCAAGACAAGACAAAACACAGACAATATACACAGTGTCGGAGACCTTACTGCCATTAAACGTACTGCCCATAAATTAGTTAACAAGAAAAGAGAAAAGGATCACAATGGGTAAGAGGAGAAATAAAAAAAAATCATATTTCCCATTTTATCCTCAGCAGGATACAGTCTGATATTGCAAAAAAAAAAAAACCTCAGCACAAAGAAACAAGAGGTACAAAACAACATCTTGCAGAGAGAACGGTCAGTCGGTACAAGGGGTGTGCATTTTTGTATCTGTGTTCCTGTTTTAGAGGAAGAGTGAGGATCAGTTTCAGTTTTTACCCTGAGGAGGGAGGACATTTTTGCAAAGTCATTTTTATTTTTGTAGGTTTAGGGCTAAGGTGTCAATTGGGTTAGGTTTAGGGTGAGGTATGCATTGTAATGGTTAGATTAAGGGTTGTTTTTAGGGTTAGACCTTTGAAAGGGTTGAAAATGACTGAAAATCAATGTAAGTCAATGGGAGGCAACACTTGGTCCTTACTACCTGGAGCAAAATGAGAGTGCATGAGCATGCATGTGTGTGTTTGCTTGTGAGTGTGTGCAAATTAAGTTAATGAAGCACTGTCACCATGGCTAATGTCCTTGATAGTGCTAAATAGTGATGAGCGTTCATTGACCGGCCGCACATGGAGCAGGTTTACAGATGTTCTCAGGGAGGGCAGGGGGCAGAGGGAGCAGAGAATAATGTTTAGTTAATATCCAGGAGAAGCTGAATAGACTCTGCCTCAGAGGGCCGGACAGTGGAGCCAGGTTTAATTCAACTTCCACTGCATGAAAAGTGAGATTTTCGTCCCCGTAAACCCCCGTAAACTCCCGCAGATCTGCCTGATTTTCGTCAGTTTCCGACAATTTGCAACCCGTGCTTGTCCGCGTTTGTCGTGCCACAAATTGTCGGAAACGGACTCTGACGTATGTGGAGAGCGATCAGCTGTACTAATGGCCCTAATTAGCATATGAATGCAGCAAACCCGCGCGGCTGGCCAGGTCTGGCTTGAATAACCTACTCAGTATTGGCTGAAACCACTATTCTCAAACAAGTGAAATCGCTCGTGATTGGCAGCAAAACCACACGTGGCCACGCCAGGCTTTAATTTTCTTACTGAGTATTGGACGGAACCACTTCTTTTTAAACAAGTAAAGTCGCTCGTGATTGGCTGGCATATATATATATATATATATATATATATATATATATATATATATATATATATATATATATATATATTTACATATAAATTTACATATATATATTTATTCATTCATATATATATATATTTATTCATTCATATATATATATATATTTATTCATATATATATATTTATTTATTCATTCATATATTTATTCATTCATATGGTGTGTATTTATGTTATCCTACACTACTACACAATTATTATGCTACCATCAAGGACATGAATGAATTTATACAGGAAATGAACATTTGCCAGGAAGCTGTTTATGCAAAGAAAGAGCTTTATTAAAACACACAACTATATACAACGCGTATCCAAACATATGCGTATCTAAAAATTACAAGTCCGTGAACGGTCCGTTTGCTTCCTCGGGGTTGGAGGTAACTGGCAGCATTCCCTCCGAGGCAGGTCCGATGTGCAGACGCCTACTGTGCGTGGCCCTGTACTTCGGCATCGCTTCTAACCGGGACTGCAGCTTAACACAGAGTTCAGTGAGATCCGGCCTACGAAATGGCGGCGACCGTACAATCCATCCAGAGACACCGCCGACGACGCCATCTTCTTCGTCGGACATGAGGTCGACGGTGGCGGACTTCCAGAGTTCCACTTCCTCATCTGCCAGCACACTCTGCCTCGCTTTCAGCAGCTGGAAAAAAAAAAAAAAAAAAAAACAATGAATCAGCGCACTGCGTATGGACACAACACCTCTATCAATGCACCTGAAAAATAGTCACCAAATAAAGTCTTACCCTCTTTCTTCTAGCCCGACTCCGAGCAGATTGCCTGGCAGCCTCCGCACGCAGCGTGTTGGCTAGCAGCGTGTATCTGAAGCTCCTGCATACCGTCTCATAATATGTCTTACAGGCAGCTGGAAAACAATCAAATGAGAGTGGTATGAATAAAAAAAAAAAAATCAAACGCAAGTCACAGTAACAAGGAAGGAGAAAACATTAAAACAAGTCACTTACACACAATGTCGTCTTTATCAACATCGTGCAAATCTGGACTTGCCGAGATGGCTCGGAGCAAATAGGAGGTCACCGCCTCAGTGTGAGGCGACAGTAGTCTGTGAAAAAAAAAAGTACAGCTATGGTCGGTATTAATCCGTATCCATGTCCTTTTACCGCAGAATGAAAGCATATTCTTTAAACCTTACCCCTGCTCCGGTTCATAGCGCCTGCAATTAGTCTCCGAGCGTACTGCTTCCTGTGAATCACAAAAAATACACTTTAATAAAGCTTTAGGCTAGGCTGCTTTTAGCTTACCTAGCTAGGCTAGGTTGTCTTTAGCTTGCCTAGCTAAGCTAGGCTGCTTTTAGCATAGCTACCAGTAATCGAACATATATTTACCCGCTAGCGTGGCGTTGTGCACCCATCTTCTCTTCCTCGAGTTCGTACATCCCGCAAAGTTGCTCGACTGCAGAGCCGCCATCTTGTCCTCTATGGACTGCAACCTGGAGTGCATCGAATTCTCCAGCTGAGTGAGCCGCTCATTCATGTCGGCAGTATGCTGACGAGACAGTCCGCTGATAGCAATCAGCAGTTTCTTCTCGTCAGTCTGTGGGCTGGCCGAAAGTTGTGGACTAAGAGCAGTTGGAGGCGAGTTGAACGCGAGACGTCGTGCAGCCATTGTTCACGTAACAACAAAATACAAACACGGTAACTGGAGATGAAGTTCTTCTGAGTATAGTACCACAAACATGTCTGCTAATATGCTGGTCTCGCGAGTAGTCGTAGTGCACAAAAGCTCACACGTGATTGGACGATGGGGCCGAAGGCTCATCAGGCTCCTCCAATCACATACGACGTCATTGTTATATGGAAGGACTCGCGAGAAGAGCTCGCGTCGCTCCATTCTGGAAGGTGGCGGTAATGCACCTATAAATTGTTTGCAATTGCAATTGTTTGTCTCCATAAGATTGAATTTGAGCAGGTGGACATTAGAGATAATAAATGCAACAACAAGTTTTTGAATCAATATTCTATAAATAATATGTACCCAGGAAGAACCAAAAGCACAGCTCTCTTACAAAATTTTAAGAAATGTATGATAGTCAAAATTAGGACAAATTATTTGAAATTCCCAATTCCTCCTAAATATAAAGAATTACAATTTAAAATAATAAATAACATATATCCTTCAAATGAGTTTTTAAGAGAGAGATTTAAGTTTAATGTTGAGAATTGTGGCTTTTGTACAACTCAATTGGAAACAACTAAACATCTTTTTTATGAATGTAAAGAAGTATTAAACTTATGGGATCAACTTCGAACCTTTCTGTCTTCTAAAACAATAAATTTAGATTTTATTTCCTGGCAAAACATTCAATTCGGTTTATCCATTAAAGAAAAAAAATTTGGAATTTTTAATCAATATTCTAATAATTGTAACAAAGTATTATATCCATAAATGTCGCTATGCAAAATGCTCCCTCTCAATCTCTGCTCTCAAAAATGAACTTTCCCTTTTCAAAAGATGTCTGAGAAAGATGCAGAATTTAAATGCAATTAAATTGTTTGAGTTAATTGAAGAATTTCAGTTGGTAGTCCCCACTGATTAATTTACTTTAACTACTATTATTATTTTATTTATTTTTATTTATTTTATTTTATTTTATACTTTGTTCCAGCCTGTGCATTTAATTTTATTTTTCAAAAGCAGGAGTTGTGATATTTCTTCTTGTATTGAAATATTTGTTATTGACTTGTTATTTGAGATTGTTATTGTTTTCTTATATATTCAATAAAAAAAAAAAACTAAAAAAAAGTGGAAATCTAAAAAAAAAAAATTAACCATTACAGCCAACTGATTCTGATTAAAACTAATTTTTGAAGTAAATTATTTTGTGTATTTTTTTTACATAACATTTGCATACACAGTAATCTAGCGTACTTTAATTAAATAAATCAATTCGAGCTAAAATGTAAGAGTCTATAATTAGGCTATACTGAGCCTGATCTATTTCTACCATCTATTTGGGGGATATTTATTGCCACACTTTGGGCCACTTAATACCAATTTAGCATGCTGACCTATGTCCTTATGACCACAGTGTACCAATCTTCTGATGGCTACTTCCAACAGGATAATGCGCCATGTTATAAAGTGAATCATCTCAGAATCATTTCTTGAAACTTTTCCACTTAAGTAATTGTGAATTGAGCATATTGACAGACAACATTTTATTTTTTATCTTAAATGCAAATGTAAAAAAAAATAATTACTGCTCTAAATGTATTGCTCTGTCAGCTAAAGATCTGTTTTGGTCTCTATACTTTAATTAAATAAATCAATTCAAGCTAAAATGTAAGAGGCTATACTGAGCCTGATCTCTTTGTATCAGAGATTTTCTTACCCAGAAAGATGTCACTTGGGGTAAAACCCCCCCTGCAACCCTGGTTTGCATTTGTATAGCTCACAGAATGTTCATTTACATGTTAAAGCCTCCCCTAGAATTCCATGGGGGGGAGGCATGGGGGGAACACTGCCTAACAAAGTCCACGTCAATTTCTGACAATTTACGGGAGTGTTCGGCGAAGCCTGCAAATTGCCGTAAACTGCCGCTAACCTGAAGTTCCACGACAATCTACAGTGCCGTATATTGACGAAAATCCCACTTTTCATGCAGTGTTCAGAAAAATTTAAAAATGTATAAAAAAGTTTTAAGATTTGAAAAATATATCCCCTCTTGGTTTTGACCTGAGTGTAATTTATTCTACTTATTTGTTGCCATGGGTTACCTGTTGAAGGTGCGATAACAGGAACCTCGTTGGTCTCCTGGCTGGATCTCCCTCTGCAGCGAATGCCCACGTCCTCACTGTGGGAGCAGTCGGTCCGACCCCAGATCCCATGCTGACAGTCCAGCAGGGACGTCTCGGATCCCTCGCAGTGGACATCGTCCAGCAGGATGAGACCAGCACCCTCCCCAAACATCCCATCTGCTACCACCTCAGCGTGACCCCTAAAAAAAGTCATTATAGAGAGGATTTATTTTATGTTGCCTCCGACAAGGAGTTTGGGTGTTTGTCCGTCTGTGTACATGATAACCTGAAAAGTTATGGACAGATTTTAATTAGATTTTATTATACGAGGGAGCAATCCATGTTCTAGATCATAATCTGGATACAGAATTTTTTAAAGATTCTCTAACATAGATAGGGATATTTGATGGAAGTAGCAGTTCCCCACTAAACCAGAGGGTTGCAGCAGTAACAATTAACAGCCTCAGCATCTGACTCAAAAAGTCTGACTCAAAAACACAAGAAAAGGCGATGTTGTTAGTTTGTTAGCAGGATCAAATAAAAAACCGAATGCTTGTCGGATGTCTGTGCCTCTGCAAAGTGTGCTTTTTCCAGTATTTAAATTTTTCTATCATCAGTAAGATCTGGAAAACTGACTGCAACAAGACACCTATATTCAGCTTTGAAAAACCACTAATTACAACTACAGAAAATTTGCATAATGTTGCAAAATGTAAACGGTAGGAATGGTAGGTCCACCTGTATCCCAGCTGTCTGCAGACCACCTCTGCATGCTGCTGTCTCCAGTTGTCGTCACACACCGTCCCCCAGTCACCGTTGTGAAACACTTCCACGCGTCCCTCCCAGGGGGTGTCTCCTCCAACCAGACGCACCACGCCATCTGCAACATCGTCAGAAAATCCTCACTGTAGCCACGTGGTGACATTCTTGTTTATAAACACAACCGTTCTCATTAATTTTTAAAATCCTGATCAATTATTGAGCTCCTTTTAGTTCCATGATGTGATCCGTTTCCTCTTGGTATCTGCTCGCCTCAGACAGGATGCGGCTGCCTCACACAATATTGATTTATTGATGCTCAGGAGGTATAAATAGCTTCTCTCTGTGTTTGCAAGATAAGAGTGTGTTTGTTTATCTGTGTGCTGTTGGGTTATTATATGGGTTTTTGCCCAGGGAGGCATTAGAATAGGGGCATACTGGGTGTAGTGTCAGAACTACATCAGAAATAATATTAGTCAGACACACATCTTATTTGCCTTTTATGCATCTGCAGTTAGTCTGGCCTCCCAAGAGATCTGAAAAAGTGAAGTATTCTCAACCTTTGCTCAGTGAGGCGTTTGCAGAAGGAGGGCCTTACCTAGGAAACCAAATGATACAAGAACACATTGTGTGAGTGAGTTATAACCTGTGTAAGGGCTGCAGGAGACTCCAGCATCCTCCATGTGGTCACAGTTGTGCTGCTCCCAGTCACCGTGAGGGCACTGATCCAGGAACAGCTCGTTTCCTGAGCATTTCACCGCATCGAGCAGGATGGGACCTGAGCCCTGCCCAAAGTGAGCCCATGACCAGGCCTTCGCCACGCCACTGAAACAAATGTAAAACACACGTGTTTGCAAACTGAGCTTAAAAGCATCTTAAATAAAGTCATTTAAGAAAATATGTATTGAACATTTTTGGCATCACTTAAATATGAAGCTTTTGTTCATTTTTAAAAAAATCTGCCATAACGTAAGTAGACAAAATGCAAAGTAACTTTAAAGTGTCCAACTATAAAAAGAACATTCTGTACACACAACCATTGCTGAATAGAAAATAGATACAAGATGGCTTCTAGTTTATGTGGTCATGATTTATAGATGGAGAAGTGCTATAAAAGTGCTGCTGTTTTTTGTGGTCTCAGTTTTGTTGGTGTCACACTGACGTCAAACCTAAAGAAAACCTGCGGGTGAATTAAAGCAAAACGAAGCAGCAAAAATAAGAGGCTAAAGGAGACTTAACCAAACATGTCGGTGTTATTATTCATATTGTTATAGAAATATAGTGAGGGAAGGAATTGTATGCCTACTTTATGTGGCATTTCAGTTAATATTGACACATATTTTTATTTTGTTTCCCATCTATCGTTTGTTAAACATAAAGGGCAGAGAAAGAGTTAACCTTCATACAGATTCTCCATCCTGAGCTGTGGGTCTAGAAACTTTAAAACGTTGTACTTCTGCCTTTGCATCTAAAGTGAAAGCTGTTGTCCAGTGAGGATTTTCAGAAGCCTGGTGACATGAAACATGTTTGACACAATAAAGAAAATAAACAACCGTTTACTTTGTTTGCTGGTTGTCATATGTGCCTGCGTTCAGAAGTGTGAACAGCATCGGGTTATCTTTTATTTAGGAAAGCAAACACAGACGGAGGGCGGTCCCTGTGGTGTGTTCAGGAGTCCAAACCCAGTGTGGGATTCATTTCTCAGATACAACTTGCAGGCTGTTTGACAGCTGGAGCTGTCTGTGAAGTTTCTGTGCAGAATATGAGGAAAGAAAACCTGCACCGACACAAACACGCTAACAGGTGTTTCCCCAGGATTGTTCCTCAACCACGCTGCAACCCTTTGCTCTCAGTTTTTCCTGTCACTCCAAATTTCCATCTCACTCTCTTCAACGCAATCACTTAGCTTTTATAGAGACGTTTCTTTTTGTGCTTTAAGAGGAAAAGATGAGGATTTAAATCTTATTAAGTCTTATTTACATTGGTGATAAGTTTTTTCTATTATGAAAATGAGGAAGCATTTAGTCATCATGTATCACTTTAAAATTAAAACTCGATCAATTCTATACCTCAAAGTTAATAGTTAATTAATAGTTTAAGGAAATAATTATAAAGGGTTTTACTTTTTTCAGGGATAAAAATCATCTTGAAAAACCAAAGATTGATTAAAGGTTGACTTCTTTCTTTGTTAACTATGCTTTAAAAAAAAAAAAAAACATTGGCAAAAGACCCAAATATTGATATCCATTTTACTTCTTTTATGTATTTTACTGTCATTTTATTGAATTGATCAAAGCAAAGCAGAGCATAATTGGAAAATCGTACCTTAAAGTGTTACTTTATAGAACAGCCTTTTGGCAGAAATGTTTTCCGCTGTGTTTTTAAAATAGTTGAAACTAGGTTCATTTGGATAGAGAACTTGTTTGAGCAAAACTTTTGCAGTTTAAGCACAGATTTGCCACATGAAGCAGCTATCGGGGTGTTTTTCTGGTATAAGGTCAAACAACTGCCCTCATCTCAGGCCAGTGGGACAACTAGGGCGCCCTAAGAGCAACTAAAAAAACAAAACAAAAAAAACTTTTTTGCATGTTCCGTCATTTTTATATGATCACTGTAAAAATAAATAAATATTCATTGTAAAATTGTGTTGTTTTACATGAATCCAACTGTGATCATGTGAAAATTATTACTGAATACATACATGTACAAATTATGATCACAAATAAGAAGAAAAGAAATCACAAGATTAACCCTGGAGATTTGGTTTAAAACAGTAAGAAAATGTAAGATAGAGGAAGTAGTTTGACTATTTAGCTGGTTGGCCTATGACACCAATTTTAAACCAGGTAGAATGATTTCTAAATTTAGAGATGGACAACTAAAGGATTAAACATTCTCAACAAATTTCTCAAGAAAGTCCAAAGTTTAGGTTTCCAAAATCTGCAGAGGGAATTTGATTTGAAAAATCAAGATTTTTACTTGTTGTTTCAGCTACAGGACTACTACTTAAAAGAAATATGCCCCAATCTCCCAGGTGAAATGAACACGATTGCACAAATATTAAGCGATGCATATAAAAACAAAAGTAATAAAGAGGTATCAACACTATATAAAGGATTAATAGTTAATAGGAAAACTTCAACGCCATATATTTGGGACAAATGGGTAAATTATCTACAGGAGGACATAAGTGAAGATATGTGGAACACTATCTGTAAGAGGCAGATTACCATCACTAGTTCTAGGAATTTGAAAATGTACTGTTGGAAAAATTTGCCAGGTTATTTTTTGAACAAAAACAAAAAAAAAGGCATATCTTCTGGCAATGCTGCAACTTGTCTCAATTTTGGGAAGATGTTGCCAAAGAAATTGATAAGATACTGGGGTACAGAACCCCAAGAACAACACTGACATTATATTTTAGTTCTGTAAAGGAAGCAGAGATACAGAAAAAAAACGTAAAGCTACAGTGTGTAATTTTCAGCGACATCTAGCGTCCAGACTGCAGACCGCAGCAACATGAACATCTCCCCCCCACCGCTTCTCCCCCCCAACAGTACAGCGAGCGTTACGGGACAAAATGTCTTCCACGACGTCCGCATCACCTACCTTCTCAAGTGATGAGGTTTGTTTACATAGATAATTTTACAGATAGTATTTCATTAAACTGTGTAGGGTATAGATTTCATGTAGACTTAAGATAATAAATATACCCGTTATTTTTTCTACATCGTTGTGACATTTTGGCGATCTCGCAATCGCTAGTTTGTTGGCTCTGCGCTGCCGTAGCGCAAAGATGTCTGCCTCCATGGCTGCAAGACCCGCTCCTATGTAATTATAAATAATGAATTCTAAGGCAACGCAAATATTAAGGTTAAGAGGCTGAGCTCGTAGATGATGATAAATAACATAGTTATGTATAATAGATTACATTTCTGACTGTATACCCCTGTAATTATTACACACTGTAGCTTTAAACTTGCAAAGAGTTTAAAGTATATTTCTTAATTTGCTCTTGGAGGCCAGCCTGATGCAAAGATGTGGAGGAACCAGTGGAAACTTCTGAGACAAGCTCATCTATTAAGACCAGCCCAATAGTGATGGGACCATGTTGGCTACAGGGATGGAAAACCTTCCATTACTCCCTACAGCACAGATGACCCCATTTAAACTGCTCACCTCCTTTTCTCAAAATGAGATCTATGATCAACCTACCAAAATCTTTAAATAGCTTTATAGATAGCGTGAACTCTCCTTGTGATTGTTATGTCTGCGGAGTAGAGATTTTTTATGGCGTAAACAGGTCTGGCAGTGATCAGCTTTAACGACGTCGACCATCAGTTTTTTTATACTGATTTCATAAATGATTTTGCAGCCTGAAGGTCAGGCTTTCTAAGACAGCTTTTAAAGACAGATCGAAGCATTGCAGAAGAACAGAGTAACATAATAAGGTTAAATGTGTGGCAAAAGTTAGCTTTTATTTTTAAATACATTTTTTACATAGAGTTACATACATTTATATAGTTTTAAGAACTAATTAATCAGCTTTAAATATTTTTTAACAATTTTTATTTGCAGCTAACTTTTCATTTACTTAATTTAAGTAGACCTAATGGTTCATTTTATTTAACTGTCTGCTTTTGTACAAATAGTGGTTATTTATTTTTTTCCTTACTAATTTTATTTTGTGTTTGCTGTTTTGGCATGCAAATTATTTATGCACATTTCTGTTGCAGATCCACAACAAAAATAAATGTTTATGGTTAATTAATTGTATACTAGTTTATTTTATTACTTTTTGTAAAATTAATCATATAAGATATAAAAAAGCACTGCAAGGCTGCAGTTAGTCTAAAGTAGGTGTGTTAAAGGCACACTATGCAACATTTTTCAATTAATTAATGTGTTCCATAACGTTTTGGATGATTAAATGAGTCATTTCAGGTTGAACAAAGCTATTCTCGGCTGCCCTGGTGGTCTGTGGGGGAAATACCGCACTTGCAATTGCAGGAGCACCGACCCGCACCCACAGGCTCAGAAGTCTCGCGAGAGTCCGTCTTGCTCTACGGCGAGAGCTGCTACACCCCCCAGTTAAAAGCATGCTCGTTGCTAGCACAGTGGCGATCTTTGTGCAGTGCTGCTTTCACACCGGTCGCAGCAAAAGCAGCAAAATCGCGTCTGCTGCTTCATTTTTGCTGCTTGTACCAGTTAGTTCTGACGCGCGGCTGAAGCAGCTTTGCTGCTCTGGCTGCACGGTGCAAAAGTGTGTCTGACGCGCGTTGTGCGGAGCTTCACTATCCTTTCTCTGCCTTGCAGCTATATTTGCTGTGATCAGTGGGAATAAAGTAGTTTTAATATGTTTTTAAGTGAGAAAATACACCTGAAAACGTAATCAGTGCCGTCAGTTCATTCAGATTATTATCCTGCCTTCCAATATTTTTTCTGTCGGAGCCGCTCAGACCCCCACATACCAGGGATGCGCCGACAGTAGGGATCCCTTCATCAGCAGCCTCTGGCCTCCTCGCGGTTCACCGCGGCAGCTGGTAGGTGTTTTCCATCTAAATAATCCAAACTGCAGGCAGCAGGATAATAAAAGCTAACATATTCTGCCGGCAGGTTTCTACATTTTAAGTTAATTTAGGCGTCAATAAACTGTTTAAAAGGAGTGATCATAGCGCTCTGATCATCAGCGCTGTGTCTCTCTCCCTGCCAGCTCCAAGATCAGCTGATCTGGTTGGTTGACGCGGCGCGTCTAGCAGCAAAAATTAAATTTTTCCATCTCGAGCAGCAGCGCGTTTGCGACGCATCAGGCGCGTCAGATGCTTAAAGGCGCCCGGCGCGCTGCTTCAGCTGCTCAGACGCGCTGCGCCTGCTGCTCAAAACGCGCCGCGGGACCTTTTGCTTCACCTTGACGCGCGTCAACCATTGACTTTGCATGTAAACTCGCTGCTTCTGTCGCGCCAGCTGCGGTGTGAACGCAGCATTAGTCATTTGTTGCGTTCGCCTGTCTGCTAAGCTCAAAACAACCGCGCCTGGCTCGACGGAGAAACCAGGAGAACAGCTGTGCATATTTACGACAGTGCACTTTTACTTTCGCCCTCTGGGGGGAGCCTCGCTGTAAAATCAACACCGGTTGCATAGTGTACCTTTAATGATCTAATCCTTTGACTGCTGTTTGCAGCAATCCATAAATTGGAAGAAACAAAGGGACCTTCAATTTAATTTCACTTAGATCCCCATGGAGGTTAGACTCCCACATAGCTCTATCCATCATCTCTGATCAGCTTCATTTTCCACGGTGAAGAAAATCCTCCCCACAGCATGATGCTGCCACCATTGTGTTTCACCATGGGGTGATAACTGGAACTACATGTTCTCCTCCAAACAGTGTTATGCTTGTATTAAACAAGATCCTAATTTAGTCTTATATAATCAGGTAATCTACTTACTTAATTTAGGGATTGCAGGGTAAATGGGGATAAAATTTAAAGCAATAATTTGATTTTTCTTCATAAAATCTTTTCAAATCACAACTATTTCAAGGGCTATGGAAAGTACAAGCGATTTATTTCTTCTAAAAGGTTTTGGATGAGAAAATTGTTTAAAAAAAATCTATCAGCTAAAAAGGCTCACAGAGAAGCAACCTTTTTTTTATTCTTTTATTACTAAATGGGTTTCATGTCAGAAAAGTGTAGAAGGATTGAAACCATAAATGTTTCAGATAGGTCCAATAAAACTGTTATGGGAAGATAAATATGGAATTATTTGGCTTGTTACAGTTTAATTTCTTTTAAAATACAGATTTAGCTAAAATATTTACAGAAGTTTTGAAAGAAATTAATTTAAAAAATAATAGAAGGTAGGAACAGATCTAAATTTGATGAACATTGGGAGTAAAAACAATTATTAACAGGACAGATTTTTTTTGTAGTTGCTTTGAAAAAAAAGGTAAAGTTTGTGATAATATTTCCATGTAGTGGCTGATTTAGTAGACATCATGATCTTATGTTTTGCTCTCATAGGCAAATATGTCTAACTTAAATACACAGTAGTCAGTTAGCCTTTATTTAATTAATAATTATCAGAAAAGGATTAAAATTATAATCACTGGTTATTTTTTTTAAGGAGAATAAAGATTGAAGGATTTCAAACAGACTTTTGTTGAAGGAATGTGTGTAAAGAGACCATTTATGTGTTAAGACATGGATTGTAAATCCACTTATAATATAGGTTTGTGAAATTATGTGTAATAATGTCATCAGCAGGTTTTAAAAATGGAATATCTCATCTCTAGATTATTTAGAACAGTTTTGTTTTAAATTAAAATGCTCTTTGTCATTGGAACCAGCAGATGTGAAATCCATTGACATACGGGTTTAGTCTGAAAGTCATTTAACCTACCTGAAACCGAGCTGTCTGCACACCACCTCAGCGTCTCTGTCGTCCCATTGGTCGTCACAGATGGAGCCCCACCGGCCTGCATGAAACACCTCCACACGACCTTCAAAGTCTTCCTCACCTCCCACCAAACGGAGAGGAGGGCCGCTACCTGAGAGGACAGCAGCATCTGTCTTTAATCGACTCCTTCACTATAATAGGGACGAGTGATTTATGGCGTCTGTAAACCTAACTTCTTCAGAGTATTAAGAAAGGGGGTCACTTGGTGGCTTGGGTGCAATTGGGTAAATATTTAGGTCTGGTTTTATTGACGGTGGAGAAATGACACTGACCTTCAGGTGGTGCACACACTATAGCTGCTTCATTTCCATGGCTGCAGTCACCGGTGACGAACGTCCTGCTTCGACACTTGGTCAGGGCGTCCTCATCTCCACGGCAACCCAGACGCTCATAATGGAAGAGGCCTGAGCCTGAGCCGAACTGGGAGAGCTGCAGCGCAGTGCCGATGTCACTTAAATTAATACATTAGAGAAAAAAAAAACAGTTTTTATCCTCTTCACTTTCATTCAGGGTTGTTTTTTGTTTTGTTTTGTTTTTTGCGATCCTGAATGTGACTAAATTTAACTAGATTCAGTTTTTGCAAAGTGATTTGGACCAAATTACTTTCATTAGACATGAATCTAAATCATGTCTAAATCATTTGACAGAACATGATTGAATAGTATGTAATTAGATGGTGAAACCGTTTCAAATAAACACAAAAAATTTATTACAAAAACTTTTTAAATAAACTACATCTAAAGTGATCTACAGAGAGTTGAACTAAATCAGGTCGGACTGAGCTGAGCAGATATGAATTTAATTTAATTGAGATTTATTTTTCTGATTCTAAATGACCTAATCTGAACTCACTGGAACTGAATGAAAACCAAACTATATTTAATTTGTTAAATTATTGTAACCTGAGGAGATGTCAACATGAATTAAACTTTCAATAAAATCAATCAAGAATCTTTATTATTATCATGGAACTATAAAGACATTTTGAAGAGGCAGGTTTATATAACTTAAATAAACTAAATTTCAAACAAATGAACCCACTAAACGGATTTTACCATGGACAGAACTAAAATGAACTAAAATAAGTTAAGTAGTATTAAGCTGAATTAAGGCTTGCTATGGGTGCAGTTTGTATCTCTTTGTTGCCATGTAGCAAGAAGCCCCTCCGTTCAATTCCCTGCCAATAATCTTTCTGCATAGAGGAGTGTACACTGCCTTTTTTACCCAGAAATGCTGGAAATAAGCACCGTCTTCCATGACCCACTTAATAGAACTAAATTTAATTCAACTGACCTAAACTTAAACTGGTATGAAACTAAGCCACCCAATTTTTATGAACTATATCTACAAAACTGAACTGAATCAAAAGTAATGTTGTATTTATATTAATTTATTTCAACAGAATTAAATAAGAAACTGACTTCATCAAACTGAATTGAATTTAACTTTATAGTATCTAATCAAATCATCATATTGTTAGTTTATGTCCTCCTACCTGAGGCCCAGCTGCCAGCAGATCACACTTGCATCTCTGTCTGTCCAGTGGGAGTTGCAGACTGCCCCCCATTGGCCATTCAGGTAAACTTCAACACGCCCACTGTCAGAGGATGAGCTGCCAACCAGACGAACCGCCCCTGGAAATCACACAGAAGCCGAGATTTATAGCCCTTAGAGGTCCAACTATGCGTTTTTTTCCATGCTGATACCGATTATTTTGACATTAGTTTAACCCAGGATTCATCGGCGGGGTGCCTGCAGGCACCAAGGGGCCCTCAAGGACCACACAAGGTGCGCTTAGTGTCTTCTGAAAACAACACAACTCAACAGTGGGCTAAGTATGAAATTTTATTTCATTCTGTTGCTCTTCCTTTATTTAATCGCACTTGCATTTATGAGATTTCAAAATTACAATATCTAAAAGAAAATTAGAAATCAAAAGAAAAATATTATGCATGACGTTAGGTGAACGCCGACAGTGCTGAGGTTAGTATTAGTTGCACTTCCAGTAGATCTCAGCCTAAAAAAGGTTGGTGACCCCTGGCCAAACTGATCCCCAGTAGGTGCTGCATCTATTTTTGTGGTGATTCTAAAAGTCGATAATGCCTTTTTTAACAAAGCAGACAAAAAATTACCAATAGAAAGCAAATATAGGGAGTGAGAATGCATGCGCTTCATTTGAACTCATGGCATGGCTACTGAATGCAGTAATGAATCTGCAGATACTAATACAATACAAAAAACACTTATATTGGCCGGATGTATCAGTCGCTCTTATAACCTTGCAGTGAAAGTCATTGTAAAAAAGCTTTCAGTAAAAAGTACAAATAAAGATCCATCATTATCAAGTTGAGGTAAAAATCAGAGGCACTGAAGTAAAGTTCCACAAGCTCTGCAAAATAACTTGGTATTGACTGAGGCCTAAAGTTTATAAAATGTAATTCTCCATGTGTTATAGTAGGCTCTTCTTGGCCAATCTCTAATACATTAGAGAAGAAGAAAGTATTATTATACATACACAAAAAGTAGGGGGATATTTCTTGCAGATAAATGATGCCTAAATGAGTCTGAAACTCAAGGAGGGCTCATGTTGTTCTGCCTGAGTTTGGTTACAAGGTTTTTTCAGTAAAGATGTTTTCCCACTTCAGCAGCTGTCAAAACATGATGTAAAGCTTCATTACTTTATTTCTTACTGTATGTATATTTTTAGCACATGCTGACATACCTTGGTGACAGTCGCAGTAAGCCCAGCCGATAGCTCCTGAGTTTTGCCGAAAGAAGCACCAGGGATTGGACTCACGGTCCGGGTTCCTGCAGTAGCTGTGGTCTCCCAGCCCGCGGCCCGGGTACTGCATGACATAGTCTGGAAACTCTGTCCACTTCAGACACGGGGCGCCCGAGTCTGTCTGGGACACGGTGCCGTTGTAGTATCCCAACTCGGTAAATCCCTCAGAGCAGGACAGAGGGACTGCCCAGGGAGGAAGAAGAGCAGATAAGGGTAAACGTTGAGGAAGAGCAAAGAAGAAAGATGTTCTGGATGAAGTGAGGAGGATTTAGGTCAGCGAGGAGGACAGTGTGAATAAGAAAGATGAGTTCCACTCATCTTCAAATCACATTATCCCCATGTCTGTATTTCATCAGGACATAAAAGCCAGCATGGATGATTCTCTGTCCAGTCCCTCAGCAGGATCCTGCCTGGGGTATTTAACCATACAGATCCACGCTGGGCACAATCAAACCCGCCTTAATTTAACACCAGCTACTTCCGGTAATCTCCTCTGAGAAAGAAATATACAACAGTGAAGCTTAGAGACATGAAGAAGAGAAATTGCTGACATCAAAGTGTAGTAGAATTAGGCCACAAGATGCAGAGCATTCAGCAAGCTTTAGCTAATTAAGAACAGCAGCAGGCCTAATGAAAGGGTTGAAAGCAAACCTAGAGCAGAGCTTAAAACTAGGAGAGGGATAAGCCTGGAACTATAAACCTGGAAAGGTTTATAGATCATTAAAGGACAGAGGCGTGCACAGACATTTTGGGGGGCAGGTGCTCAGGAGGGGGGGGAGGGCACTTTTTAGCGCACGTGTAACACTTAATTATAAAAAAAAATAAACGCATGTTGAATGAAATTTGACTTTTATTTGTAACATTCTCTAAACGTGAGTTTTCAATGGAAAAAAGTCACATCACCAACAGAACAGACTAAAGCGTACTACTTTCATCTGGCTCATCTCCCTGTTTTCCCTCACCCATCTGTTCTCCCTCATCCTGTTCTTTTTCTGTCTCTGTGTCTTCCCTGAACTCTTCCTCATCTCCTGTCCTGTTATATGTTGATGGTATAGAGCTTCCCTGCTGTGACTGGCTACAATATATTAATAATAACCATCATGACAATAATAATAATAATAATGATAATAATAATAATAATAATAATAATAATAATAATAATAATAATAATAATAATAATAATAATAATAATAATAATAATAATAATAATAATAATAATAATAATAATAATAGCTTTAACAAATATGCCACATTAGTTTAAATAATGGGCTATTAGGGCAACATGACTGGAAGTCTTGTCACGTGGATATGACTTATGGTAGCCTACAAAATAATAGCTATTTTAATACCTGCTGCACAAACCACTTAAAAATAAAATGTGAACAGCTCTTAAGATTTTTCAATACGATTAACCCTCCTTTCTTGGCATTGTGCTGCAATTACTAAATCAATATACAATTAGACAATAAAGAGACCAAAATGTGTTAATTTATGTTGCCTAACAAAACCTATACAACAGAAAACGTTTGTCTTAACACATAGATTTGTACAGAAGAGGATTAGGGCCACTGAAAAAAAAAAAAAAGTTAACTGATTTTTAAATTTTATTTCAGTTTAACATGGGAAAAAAGTCAGAATTCTGACTTTTTTATTGTCAGAATTCTGAGATTAAAGTCAGAATACTGAGCAAAAAGTCAGAATTCTCAGCAAAAAGTCAGAATTATGAGAAAAAAGTTAGAATTCTGAGATTAAAGTCAGCATTCTGACTTTTTTCCCATACTAAACTGAAATAAAATTTAAAAATCAGTTAACTTATTTTTTTTTTCAGTGGCCCTAATCCTCTTCCGTAGATTTGCAATTGCAAACTCTACCAAAATTATTTGTAGCCTATGTGGTCGTCCTCACGTTATCTGTCATTGACTTGGGCTACAGTGTAAAACTTTCAGAATCAGAATCAGGTTTATCACCATTGTTAGTGTCCTAGTTCCTAGTTCACAAACTAGGAATTTTTTATGGTACAATCGTGCAACATGAAACATATAATATGGAATAGGTAAATAAAATTATAAAAATATCTAAAAACTGTGGGTATACGTCATGCAATAAAATAGACTAATATATACACTTAAGATAAAAAATATGGATACAAAATATAAAAAGTAAAATAGCATCTTACAAGGAGACAACTAGTTTATCTGGTGACCAGTCGGCAAAATGCGTGTTTGGTGCTGCTGAATGAGACATTTTAATGCACAACAAAATTATTCTGCTTGATCTGTATATTACCTGGCTAATGGGGCACGAGAGAAGCAGCCTGTCAGCGACCGTTCCTGCTATCTGAAAACTGCTATGATGCTGCGCATCTGGCATGCCCTGCGGGCGACCGAGCGAGGTCACGTGACAAAGGAAGAGAGAGAGGGTCGTTTGTGCGCAAGTAGGTCGGTCATTTCGGGGCATTGTTTCAGTCGTTTTTAATGGCTCAGGTTTTCAAAAGATCATTTCCAAACCGACCTCAGTAAAATCTTAATAATATTAATAATAATAATAAAAAATAAACAAGTTTCAAAAGGGCATTTTCTTTGATAGAGGGCAAACTTCCTAGTGCTTTAGCACCACCTAGTGTCTATGTGTGCACGCCCCTGTTAAAGGACATATAACCAGGTTCACTGCTTTATTTTGCACATCAGGACTTTGATTCCATTTAAAGCCTTTTAGGTCTCAAGATCAGAGAAGATAAACTGGCCCTCTAAGTTTTATCAAACTTTAAAAGAGAATTTAAAAAATGCAATTTCTTTGCTCAAGGCATAACATTATGACCACTCAAAGGTGAAGAGAACGCTGATTATCTCTTCATCATGCTGCACGTTACCAGGCTGCATATATTCAGCAGGTAATTAACATTTTATATTTAAAGTTGAAGTAATTTGATCAAAACCTCACTCAAAAGGGTGACCTCCAGATAGAAACAAAGGAATTTGATATTAGTAAAGCTATTAGTTCTAGTAAAACTATAAGTTCCAGAATCTATTAAAAAATATGCCCTTTTAAGTCAAACTACAGCACTTATAAAACAGCTGCATAGTGTATGTTTACCTGCCAACAGATTTTAGTTTGTTTTGTGGTCACATGCCATCTCCAGGAACTTTAAAGAGTCAGTCCAATCAAATCACACAAACTGACTGACTAAAAAGTTTTGGATTCAAGGACATCAAACAGATTGCATTGAATCATTGACTGTGCAAAATTCACTCCTTCTGGATGAGCCAATAGCAGCAGGGGATGGTTGTTTGCATTGTGTGGTTATTTTGCAGGAATCCTTCATGCTGGACAGGCTTTTTTATCTACTTTGAATTGATCTTAGGAAATATCTTCCTATTTCTGTATTTCTTTGAGATAAGCCAAAAAAGACTGTTGCGTTTTTATCAGTCTTCTAATCGGGATATGCAACAAATCATTTCCATTAGATTTTATTTCTACAGATAAATCTGTTTAATAACCTGATGGATTATATTGCGTTTGCAGATACTTTGTGAAAATCATTCAAGGTTGTTTTTTATCTATGAGCATTTAATTTGCAGTTCTGTTTAGTTATGGCTTCATAGAGAACATATATATTTAGTTTTTCTTTTCTTTTTCTTTAGTTTTTCTTTTTTCCTTAAGAGAAACTGAAATAATGATAGAAAAAAATGGAATGGCAGCATCTGATAGGTGCATCTTGTCTAATTTCATATACTGTATATAAATGCCAGCAGATGCTCCCTGTGTTTAGATTTCATTTACATGCAAACATCTTCTAAAAACAGGTTTGAATTCAAACCTTACAGCCAGTGTCTGGATTTTTAAAACCATAGGATGAAAAGTGTTACATTTTGTGCATCAGGAAATGGTCAATTTGTCTCATAAAGTATCTCAAAAGCAGCTGATAAAGCATATCTTTTTAATACATTTATTGATAGAAAAGTATCGTTAACAATAGGAAATATAAAGTCATAACCTGGACGATAATGATGCATTTTCAAACCTTGGGGCTTCGAGGGGATTTTTTTCTTTCACTTTGTTTTGCTTTTTCTTTCATTTCACCAGGATTTTATAAAAAACTACATTCGCATATTGTTCATCCATCCCTTTCGATCTTAAGGTCTAAAACTTCATGGTCTTGCATTTTATTCTCCTTTTTTCGTGTTTTACCCTTGAAGAACATTGGTTCTTCTTCCACCTTAAAGCTTTCAGAGTGGAATTTGGAAGCCAAACAATAATTGAACTACGATTAATAGTGGAGATGTTCCAGCATTAGTGCAACAACCTTATCTCAGCAACACACACAGCTTGGCTATCTAGGAGCTCTATCACTAAAGCCCACCAAACTGTGACATATTCACACACACAAACCCTAAAGGTTTTGACTGAATGCAGAATCCACAAACACAGGCTGTTTTAGTTTGAATAAAGAAAACAAAGATATGTGTAAGAGTCAAAATGTGTCAGAATGATATTTAGGACTGAAACGATCAATCCGTTGAAATAACTGCCAATTAATTTGTTAATTTTTTTTCTTACTATTTTTCTTCTTTTTCCTTGATATTTTTAATAGGGGCAAATTTAAATAATTAAATAGATATGGATCCACTGCAGGATGTTTAGTGATATAAATCACATGTTTTCATGTAACGGGTGTCACAAAGAAGCCTATTTTGAAAAGTGTATATTTTTCAAGAGTAGTACTACTCTATGATTGCTGTGGCATGCAGGCACAACCACATAGTCACCTAGTATGAGGTTCCGTTTGTGTCAACAATAAGCAGATATAAAATATCTAGATGTTGTGCTGTTGTTGCATATCTGTTGTTTGCATATGTATAAGTTGCACATGTATTTGTTGAATATGTAGATTCTGCATATGTCTATGTTGCATATGTCTATGCTGTATATGTCTATGTTGCATATGTCTATGTTGCATATGTAGATGCTGCATATGTCTAAGCTGCATATGTCTATGTTGCATATGTCTATGTTGCATATGTAGATGCTGCATATGTCTAAGCTGCATATGTCTATGTTGCATTTGTAGATGCTGCATATGTCTATGTTGAATACTTCTATTCTGTATATGTCTATGTTGCATATGTAGATGCTGCATATGTCTATTCTGCATATGTCTATGTTGCATTTGTAGATGCTGCATATGTCTAAAGTGTATATGTCGATGTTGCATATGTCTACTTTGCATGTCTATGTTGCATATTTCTATTCTGTATATGTCTATATTGCATATGTCTATGTTGCATATGTAGATGCTGCATATGTCTATGTTGCATATGTCTATGTTGCATATGTAGATGCTGCATTTGGCTAAGCTGCATATGTCTATGTTGCATATGTAGATGCTGCATATGTCTATTCTGCATATGTCTATGTTGCATATGTCTATGTTGCATATGTATGCTGCATATGTCTATGTTGCATATGTAGATGCTGCATGTCTATTCTGCATATGTCTATGTTGCATATGTATACTGCATATGTAGATGCTGCATTTGGCTAAGCTGCATATGTCTATGTTGCATTTCTAGATGCTGCATATGTCTAAGCTGCATATCTCTATGTTGCATTTGTAGATGCTGCATATGTCTATAGTGTATATGTCGATGCTGCATATGTCTACTTTGCATGTCAATGTTGAATATTTCTATTCTGTATATGTCTATATTGCATATGTCTATGTTGCATATGTAGATGCTGCATATGTCTATGTTGCATATGTCTATGTTGCATATGTAGACATTTTACATCTGCTTATCTATGATACAAACGGAACCTCATATACACACACTATAAAACATAACAATTTGTTGAAAAAAAATATATATACTGTTCTTTTATATCTTCTCCATTAAAATACACAACATATTAATAAAAAAATGTAAAAATGAAAAAAATGTTATATTAATTAATAGCTAAAATATACCTTGACCCTAATTCTACTTAACAAAAACTAAACACTACACATGTCGATGATTAACACAATGGGTCTATAGTAAAACTTAAAAAGCCTTGAACCTCAGAGAGCTCAACATGAAAAATATGTGCCTATCCCTTTAAGAGGTGTGGCGCAGGAAACAGAAAGTAAACCAGGGTGAATTCTTTCTCAGCCTTTCTTTAAACTGCACGCGTTTATGCTGTAGATCTCCTATAACAACTAAGCTCCTTGTTTTGTTTTCTAGTTTAGTTTTTAGGTTGTTGTAAGGGTGGTTACACGGCTGTAAACACTTCTGTCTTGCAGACCAGACAACCATTAAAGGAGGTGAGTAAGAACACGTCATTTTTATCAGATGGAGCGGTGGCTGAGGCTCAGGCGGTTTGATCACATAAAATACCTGGTGGAGTTTTCTCCTGGGGGAGGGGCTAAAAAAATATCTTACAAAATAGACATACACCAAAAACCAATCAAATATGCTAAGTTATCACACCAATATATTTATGAATGCCAACAGCATAAAAACATTTATAATGTCATGCACATGTACATAAATGTTGTCCTTCTGAGGCTTTGTAAAAAGCCAATCTGTGTTTTGCATGGTCCAATGTTGTTTCACAAACCTAAAAATATAATGCGCCAGTTGGAGAAGCTATAAGTCAGATTTATTTTTTTTAATTAATATATCAAAACTATTTATTTTCTAAGAATGTGTTTATTTAAGAGCAACTATGCAGATTAACAAACATCCAAAAAAAAGTGCACTATACTATATTATTTTCCATGTGAATCCCAGATTGTTTATGTTTCTTTTTAAAAAGTGCCTTAAGTCACTCCTTGCTGTCTTTATCCATGCTGGGTCAGATCCAGACATTTGAAAAAGGATGCAGAGAAAGCAGGATACAGCGTTAGCCTCGCTGCATGCAGTTAGCCAAGCCTCGCAGCTAAACCAGGTCATGGAAGACCGAATGGACCATGTCCATCTGACTGCTGATCAATTTCAATTTTTCGGCTGATCGGGTCTAGACGGTTTCGCAGGAATTTGAAATGAGTTGATATGAGCTGAACTTTTTTATGAAATCGAGACACAGCAGCCAATCAGGGACTGGTAGTAGGCAAAGCTATTTTTCACCTAAAATGGAATACTGATATAATATTTTTAAAAAGGTTAGAAATAAGGAATAATAAGAAATAAGCCACTTAAAAGGTCTTGAGTGGCTTTAATAAAAAAAGCTGTTTTAGTTTAGTCCTAGAAGGACTGTTAATCATCCTCACTTGCCTCAAGCACAGAGTCCTATCTGTCGCTGCCAAGTATTGGTGCTTTCTGCGGTGATAGATTTACAAGAAAGTCTCGCCAAATCAGAGCTGCGTCTGGAGGAGCCAGAGTGGATTTTTTTTCTTTGTTTTTTTTTCAGAGCTTTTGGGGCTTTTCTAAAAATTATGGTCTCCCCAAGACGATTCAAAAGTTGTTCATAGAGAACTATTTAGCAGTAGTCCATGATAAGTTTCATGTTTGCTTTTACTGTGAAACGCTGACGATGAGACCTTGACAGAAAATTACATGGGGTTGCCAGGGGTAACGGTAGGTCCAAAGCAGAGGATCTGGGAGGCTGTTAATTTACTAAATATTAAACAATCATTCCAGCTACTAAACATGGTAAACATACCACTGTTAGATTCAATACCAGCACAGGAATGACATGTGATGTTATGCAATAACTTAATATCAGGAACGAACCCAGCACTAGCCTCTGCTAGGATGGCAATGTCATTGGTCATAATTAAAAATAAATTATATCGTAAAAACCAAATCAGTAGAAAAACGGCATGTTTACCTGCACAAATAGAGTAGCATGAAAAAAGTAGGCTAGATAATTTTGATTAAATGCAGAACTTAATTGTGATGTAGATGACCTCTAGGTGACCTTAAAAATCATTTGTCTTTTTTTTTTTTTTTTTTACAAATTAGCTTTTTAAATGCACAAACCTGCATTGCATGAGCAATAACCATTCAGTCTATTTGCTGAGTTTGTTTTTTTTTTTTTTTCACGTCAGTGGGGTTTCAGCTTTACGCAGCTGAAGCTCCTCCTATTTGATGACGCGGTCCAGAGAAAAAACCCTTTGCATCTGAAATGCAGAGCGGTGAATTACATACTGGGCTCGTGGAAATCACTGCGTCATCGACACTTGACTGAACTGTTTTGTAAACAAACACCTATAATTCACCTTTTTTCTTTCTTTTTCCTGCAGCTGGACTTTTCAAAGTCAAGACTTCACTGAAAAGTGAGATGAAATTCTTAGTTACATGTCGTAAATCCACTCTCAATTGTTTGCAGTTTTTCATGTTTAGTTTATATTGTTAACATAAAAGATGTAAATAATAAACAGAGGTTGATGTGAACTTCTGGAGCTGGGATTTACAGGATCCCGTGATTTTAACCATTAGACTAATTGCATAAAGAAAAAGTATCTTGTTTTGTATTTTAATGAATCGTGTTCTTTTTTATCTGAGAGAATAGATGTACATATATTCTCTACTGACCTCTATTTTGAAATTGATAATTTTTTATTATTTCCTGCACTCTTTACAGCGATCCTTTTATACCTTTTACTCCCTTTCAGTCCAGTGACGCACCATTTAATGACCATTTGCTACTTGGTTTGGTTTAAAGACACAAACATTCCCACACGTTGTTATGATGCATCATTAAAATTCTGTTTATTTTATACGGATGGTATGTAACGGACTGAGATAAAAGTTAAGCTAAAAGGAAAGTTGGACCTCCACATCAGTCTCAAGTCCTTTTTTGAGAGGTTTTCTTTCAGGATTTTCCTGCATTTACCTCCGACCATCTTCCCATCAACTCCAGCCATAACGTCTGTATAAAAAGTGCTTTTTGGAGGCTGTGATTGGAATCTGTCAGCAGATTACAGAATAGTTTCACCAGCCAATGATAAACCAGCTAATATTAGCATGTTGACTTTATTTTTTAAGAACTTTGCACAAGATATCGAAACATATTTGTAACCTCTGCAGGTATTTATTCTACATGCATCCATCAATTTAATGTCACAGGTGGCAGTAAAACAGGACATCATAAATTAGATATGAATTATTAAGTCAGCTAGTTTGAATTGAAAATAATTTTCATTATGCATTAAAACTGAGAAAATTCTTATTTTTTAGTTTACAGAATTGTCAAGAACATCATGTGTTTTTAAACCCTCCTTTTGGATAAAAAATAAACAGTAGAAATCTGTATTTAAATAAAGAAAATCAGGATAATGTTGCCCTTCCTTTATTCCTTGTTTAATTACAAACATTTACCTCTACCAAGTAGCCAGAAAAATCTTTGCTTTTTCGTGTTAAAACCTCTATTTGAAAAATATTTTTTCAAATATTATCCTGACACCAATATTAAGCATGACTGACCTATTGTAATACTAAACACTAAGGATTAGAATAAAGTGTTCAGGGTTAAGAAGTGTTTGTTGTACAACCATTTTTTTTTATTTTACATTTTTTTTTTTTAAGATACATTTTGTACATTTTTACAAAAAATATCTTTTAATAGCCTTTTTGTTTAACTGTTTATGACTAAAACGTGAGCAGACTGACGCCTCAGTAGTTCAGCATCAATGCATCTATAAACCTGTTGCCTATTTTCTTTAATTTACTTCTGGTTGAAAGCTCCTGCTCTGTTTCTGCGGATGGGACATCAAACACATCTATGTTTAATGGGTCCAATGTAACAACTGAAGCGTTACTTTGAGGATACTCAGAAACTCAACTGAGAAACCATCTTAAATCCATGTAAATTGGAAAAAAAAACAAAGAGTCTTGTAGCGTACGAGCATGAGTTAATTAAAAAAACAAAAAACAGAAGGGTGCTGTAGTTCTGTGTTTTGGCCACAGGTGGCAGTATAGTTAGGAAACTCCGTTGTACATCTTTAATATATGTTTCTATTGTTTTAACTGGGTTTTTTTGTGAGTTGTTATAGATTTTAATGATTACATTGGTTTATAATATCAAATTGATCGCAGACTTGCTAACTGAATTTAATTGATGTTGCATCGTGACATTTTTTCATGGTTTTGTCATCCAAACATCCCCATATTCATGCAGAGATAGGTCAGTATACCCTTCATCACCATAGTTCAAAAACTACAACAAAACAGAAGGTTAAAATATAATTTTCCTAGCATGGCTCCAACTAACATTAATTATAATGTTTATGTAACTGTTATTTTTTTTTTCTTTTGGTTTTAGAAATGGCATCCAGTGGAAGTCTAATAACGGAGGAACATTTACTTTGTCCGATCTGTCTCGACGTCTTCAGTAAACCAGTTTCAACACCATGTGGACACAACTTCTGTATGTCGTGTATAACGGTCTACTGGGACACCACGCCCGCCTGCCTCTGTCCTGTTTGCAAGGAAGAATTTCCGAGCAGGCCAAACCTCAAGGTCAATACCTTCATTGCCGAACTGTTATTACAGTTTAAGTGCCTTCGTGTGACAAACACTCCCTCCCAGAGTTCATCCGGTCAGCAGCCGGTCAGCCCTGGCAGTGAGGTGAAGTGTGACATCTGTAGCAACCCTGCTGTGAAATCTTGTCTGGACTGTGTCGCTTCATTCTGCGACGGTCACCTAGAGTCGCATTGTATAGCTTCTGATTTAAAGAGACACACGTTGGTTAATCCTTTGGTGGGTCTGGGGGACAAAGTCTGCAGGGATCATCACAGGCTGATGTTGCTGTTCTGCAGAAATGACAACTTGGTGCTTTGTGACCTTTGCGTCGGTTCGCACCATGCAAGCCACGATGTGGTTTCTGTGCAGAGGGGATATGACGATATGACGCATCAGCTGGGAAAAACTGAGGCCAAAGTGCGGCGAATGATTCAAGAAAGGACCCAGAAGGTCCAAAGCATGACAGAGTCACTAACAAAAAGCAAGACGGAGACAGAAGGGATGATAAAAGACGGCACACGCTATGTGAGCGAGTTGGTATCTGAGATTAAGAAGACCCAGGAGGAACTCGTCAAGGTGGCAGAGGAGAAGCAGAAAACGGTGGAGGAGCAAGCTAAAGGGTTGATTACAGACATGGAGAAGGAGATTTCCAGCTTGAAGGTGACTGCAAAGAAGCTGGGGGATCTAAAGGACATTGAAGATCAGGTGTGTTTTCTCAAGAGCTACCCGAACCAGTCCCTCCTGCCTCCCACTATGGACCTGTCCACATACAGCTTCAACAGACACCTGGCGGTGCAGCACATGCATAAAGCAGTTAGAAACTCGATGGCAGACTTCCGGGCACTTCTGGATAAGCTGAAGGAGGAAATTGACACATTCTCAAACAGCACAGATGCATCAAACGAGGCGGCGCTCAAGTACATGCAGCAGTTTGAGGTGAACATTGTCCTGGATCATGACACGGCTCACCCCATGCTCAGCTTATCATACGACGGGAAGCAAGTTTGGTACAACATGGGCACCAATCTGTGGGGGACCCAGATCCAGAAACCCAACATGTTCACTCAGCATCTAGCTGTTGTGGGACAGAGAGGCTTCTCTTCCTGCAGGTTTTACTTTGAGGTTTACGTCGGCCAGAAGACGGAATGGTGTCTGGGCGTGTCAACGGCATCGCTCCAAAAGAGCGGGGCGATAGTTCGAAGTCCTAGCTGCGGACTCTGGGCAATATGGTTCCTGTTGGACAAGTTTGAAACCTTCACCTGCCCAGGCGTTCCGGTTTACGCGGGGAAAGTGGAGCGTGTAGGGGTTTTTGTTGACTATGATGGAGGTCAGGTGTCGTTCTTTGATGTCGTGAGAGCAGCTCCCATTTACTCTTTTAATGGGTGTTTATTTACCGAGGAGCTGTATCCGTACTTTAATCCCTGTGATAATGAGTATGGTTCAAACCTGGATCCAATGTTAATTGTTCCCGTTTCCCGACAGAATGAGCAAAGTATTTAGACATCAGTTATTTGGCTTAGTTTGGAAATCAATGACGGCAACAAAACTGCATTTAAAAAAGCATATAAAGAATATTCCTAAATGCAAAGTTCCTCCTTTTTTTAATTATTAATTCTCCTCTCTTTTAATTCAAAATTTCTTTCATTTTTAAGCAAAAGGGGTTTTAAGAGTCAGCAAAAAAATATAAAGTAAAAAGTAAATATGTATAAAATACAGTTTGCATGGAGACACTATCCAATGTTGCTATGGAGACCTTTTCATCCATTTCACTTTGCACATAGTTTCTACCCTTCCTGTTACCCTCTATAACACAATCCTATAAAGAAATATGCCTCTATGTCGTGAAATATTTTTATCCTAGAAAAACAACTCAGCTAAACTGTCAGTGTGGTTAAGAGCATCATTTTTATAGCCAATGTGAAACCATAGGAGGCAATTGTGTAGCTGTTTAACTACACAAAGTGTCGAGGTGTACAGATTTAAACTGATCATGAATACGTGTTATTTTATGAGTTGCGTTTCTGGGCGTGCAGGTGGCACAGTGCTTAGCGCGCACGACCCATGTACAGAGGCCTTAGTCCTCGATGTGGCCGACCCAGGTTCAAATCCGGCCCGTGGTCCTTTGCCGCATGACACCTTTCTCATACCCCCTTTCCTGTCAGCCTACTGTCGAAAAATCGAGCCACTGCTGCAGAAAAAAACTCAAAAAAAAAAAAATAGTTGCATTTCTAGGCTCTAACCACATTGAGTGACTGATATGTAGCAAAAGGTTACAGTGTCACACTTTTGAACACTTTTTAAATGTCACCTTTATCGGTAATGAAGCAAAATGCATTTGCAATATAATTTTCAAAACCGTAGAGGTGCGGAGGAGGATTTGGGCCACTGAATTTTTTTTTTTTTAAAGTTAACTGATTTTTAAATTTTATTTCAGTGTAATATGAGAAAGAAGTCGAAATTCTGACTTTTTTTTTCTCAGAATTCTGACTTTTTTCTCAGAATTTTGTATCTTAATGTAGATGGGCACCATTCACTGACAAAGATGTGAATTTGTGTGAGAGGGCCAGTAACACATTGGTGGTTTTTAATGTGCACGAGGGGTCCCCAGAGTTGCTATTTCATTAATGGAAGAGCAGAAGGTGATTAAAACACGAGAGCTAGTTTAGTCTCTAAAACAGACATGGCTACGGCTTAATGCTAACATGTTTGTTAGCTGTCAGAATTCTAAGAAAAAATTCAGAATTCGGAGATTAAAGTCGGAATTCTGATTCCCCCCCCCCATATTAAACTGAAATAATATTTAAAAATCAGTTAACTTTTTAATTTTTTCAGTGGCCCTAATCCTCTTCCGTATAGAGGCACTGGTTTTTAATAATACTATACTCAACAAGAGTGAGACACCAGTTTTCCCATTTCGGGCCTTGTGTGGCAGCAAGACATTTGTGGTGGGTTTGTCACATATGACGGTAGAGAGAGTCGCAGCTAGCATGCAGATCCATGCCACTGATCTCTATTGATTCACTGGATTGCTGACAGGCCGTTGGTAGTACACGGTGCTGTGAGGTCACCAGCCACCATATTGGTACTCCCTAGTTAGACCGGTCAGAATGTAAGCAATTCGTGCGCTACAGCTTTTAACAACGACGATCTCCTCATTCTTTATGGGGGGGCTTAAGACTTTTAAAATTTAAATAAATTCATAATTTTGACCCACACTTACTGTTTTATAGCATCTCTAGATTACTGTATATTATGGCGAGAAAATAGGCACATCACATTGCAGGGTTAGTATGAAGGCTAGATGTCATTTAATATAACATATACAAAACCATAAAAACAAAATTAGTGTGTTAATGGAGCATAATACACAAGCACACACTACCTGATGAAATGCCGAAAGTGCTAAATTAATTATGTACATGTAATTTACAGGTATTGATTACATTGTTATGGTAATTACATTACATTACAGGCATTTTTATGGTGTAACTTTGTGAGAGTGAGGAGTACCAAGATGGCAGCAGGTGACTTCAGCAATCCAGTGAATAAATGGAGATCAGTGATCCATGCATGCAAAGGAGGAGGAACTTTTTCACACAAAGATTACAGTGAAGTCCTCCTCCAATGGACTCACTTCAAAAACTAAAGCCTGGAGTGAAACATCTGGAAGCTTGGGGTTGCAGTTTTGGTTAAAAATAATCGCAATTTTGGTTTTTGCCAAAATCATTCAGCCCTAGTCACTGTTATGTGGATATTTCTACAAACAGGACATGTAGAAAGCAAAGTATAAATAAGAAACTAATATATAAGGGATTCTTACACTTACACCAAGCGATTTGTTACAATTTATTTTTGAGCTTTTTTTTGTGTGTGTGTGTTTTCCTACAATAAAAATACCAGCTTTGTTTAATGTTTTTTACACAATTCACTAGGGCTCCAATATTTATCACCATCTGTTTACTCTCAACCAAAGAAAATAAGACTTTTACAGAGAATTATCAAGATGCTGCAACTTTCTACTCAGATTCTAAGGAATATTGGACTTGAAGACCTAACAGCTTTAGAGTTAGGCCAATAAAAATAATATAACTTTGAAAGAAAAACACCTAGAATAGGAACCAAAGGGTTTAAGTGATAAAGTCACGAGGAGAGTGATAGGGATGTCTTGAGTATTTTTTTTTTGTTTGTTTTTTTAACCATCTTGGGCAGCCATGGTGACCAGACAGAGGAACATTTGTAAATGCATAAAGACAGGATCACATGACTTTCAGTCCTAAGAGGATTTATTATGGGTTAATCTGAGACTCTATCGGTGAATTTCCCAGCATGTGGAGGACAGAAATGTAACAGGTCCCAACCAATAACTACAGAAAACCGGGGACAAAATACTAGAGAGAAACTGGAAATAATGCACCACAGACCACCTTCCCAGTTATGGTACGCCTAAAAGTCTGTCAGGTTTTGGTCTTGATGCATTCTCCAAGTCTGGAGACCCTTACCTACCATCTTGATTGTTATTTTTAGTGGGTATTCCTCAGTTCCCTTAGAATGTAAAGCTAAAGAAATTCATCAGAAAAGCTAAAAACTGATTAAAACGCTTTTGCATGAACATTCACATAAAAGAAAAGCAGCTCCATAGTGTCGCCACAGAATAGTGGGACAAGGTTTCTTTTCAAATCAAACCTTGAAGAAAAAGAAAATAAGAAAAATGAATGTTGAGGCAGAAACATTCATCCCTTGAAGTTTTTATTCTCCGATTGTGAAGTTTTGGTCTTTGCATACGACTGTGGGCGTGAAATGGGGGAACATTCGATACCTTCAAAGATTATGATTTGATATACAGCTACTCTATATTTCTGTTTTTGCAAATCTTTGGGAATAGATTTTTAATTTTACATGTTTTCCTCACATTATCCTGAAGGTATATCTAAGATATAACTGGATTAGGGGGCTTATGTCGAAAGGAAAACCCAACTTTTTATTCACCAACTTTAAAACATAAAAAAAAAAAAACCTCCATAATGGCAGATTATCAAGCTGATAAATTGCATCAGTCTTTCCCAAAAGGCAGATTAGGCTGCAGATTCAGCAGTTCTGACATGCAACAGGCAGCCAATACAAAGGTGTAATAAACTCACACATCATCAATGACAATAGATTTTTAATTTTACATGTTTTCCTCACATTATCCTGAAGGTATATCTAAGATATAACTGGATTAGGGGGCTTATGTCGAAAGGAAAACCCAACTTTTTATTCACCAACTTTAAAACATAAAAAAAAAAAACCTCCATAATGGCAGATTATCAAGCTGATAAATTGCATCAGTCTTTCCCAAAAGGCAGATTAGGCTGCAGATTCAGTCTTTTTTTTTTTTTTTTTCTTATCTCAGTCCTCCAGTTCTGAAAATCCACATTTAGTGCAGCTTCAAAGAGAACGAAAAGACAAGAAAAGACAGTAGCTTCAAGTACTCCACATATAGTGCCTTTTTCAACACAAGTTAAATAATTTAGCACAAGCAAATGTAAATGTTTGCAAGCATGCATGTCTTCATTAAAAATGGAACTTTATAAATGTGGAAGTTAACAATATTTAAAATATTAAAAGACATAACTCTGTAAATAGTGACTTTAATAAAGGATGCTGCCTTTATGTTAATGTTAAATCTCGGAAGCATTTAGGCAGGGTAAACTATTTTACCCTTAAATCTATATTTATTATTTTTATTTTATAATCATTATTTATTTCTATGTTGTATTTTTAAACTTTAACAATACATAAGCTCAACATAGAAAAATAAACAAATCTTTCGGCTTCCTATGGATCATGTGATATTGGAGGATTTTAATTTTCATTCTGCAGTTTTTATTTTGTGACATTAAGCACTAGAGTTAAAAAAAAAAACTCAGTTGGCATTGATTTGATCTAATTTGGTTAGACAGATTAAAATTCATTTAATTTAAACATCATTTTTGATTCTTCAAGATACTTTAAAACAGGCAGAAAATGTGTTAAACTAGCTTGATTTTTAAGGATCCTCAGCTGTTTGAGGATTTTTAAATGTTTATTTCAAATTGAACTAAAGTATCAATTTACATAAAGATAGATACTGATTATATATAGCTGTTACTAAAAATAAGTTTGAGTTTTTGCTCTCTTTTAGTTTACAGAAAATACTTTAAATAAAAGTTTCAAAAATGCAACATGAATCATTCAAAAGTTGCATATATGTAAAGATAATTCACTCGTAATTTCTTAATTTAATCACAGATGAATCCACATGTTCTGCCTCTTCTTCTGCCTATTTTTTTGCCTGGTTTGTTAGAGAACATTATGGAACAAATAGCATCTTATAAAAACCAAGGACCACAGCAGTTAGTCAGAGAAAACCATTGAAAAGCTTAAAGCAAAGTTCACAGGTTGACTCTGGAGGAGCTGCAGAGATGCACGGCTCATGTATAAAACATTTTATTATAGTCTATGAGCAAACCTCTGGTGGAAGAATAATAGTTAACATAAGTAACACACTATCCTGAGGGTAAAACAGAAAGATAGCAGCAATTTTGAATTGAAAATATACTCAAAATCCAACGTTTTTGTGTATAAATATATATGAAACAATCAGATATAGTGTGATTTATCATTATTGTGACAATAACTGTGATACATATTATATAACGATAATAAATTCTTAACTACCTATATCTAAAAAAAAAAAAAAAACTCAAAAACTGACACTATTTTTGTTTTTTTTTCAAAAGTACAGTTTAGGAAAAATAATCTTGTATATAAATATTTCCAAAGCAGTAGCTGTTTTTTGGGGGGGTTTTTTGGACTTTGCACATGAAGGGACAGAGTGTTGGTAAAAAGATAATGATTAATGGGTCTTAAGATACTTTTTGTCATCACTCTTATTATTCTTGGAATGAAAGCCATAAAACATTGTGATGGAATGTTTGTTCTATATTGTTCACAATCATATTTATATATGATTATCTTGTATTGATATAGTCCTCAAAATTCTACATATATGTGATCAAAATTATTAAGGATATTTCTGAATTTAATGTGAAAATCTCTGCCTGTATTTTGCTCTGTAAATGTGACAAACCTTTAATATCTTAATTTGATTTTAGTGACTCATAGAACCATCATATAAACCAAACCTCACTTCGTTTCCATATCTATAAACATGAATAGTTTTAATGATTTACTTCCTCTCACATCCATTTTACTCCTCATTCTCCCCCTTTTATTCATCTAACACCCGCAGTGCATCTCGCCGCCACCACAGCCATATTTTGCCCACTGCTGTGGGAACGCTCAGCCTCCCAGCTCTCATAATCCATTTCCCAGCTACAATGAGCATTTGACACGGTTCACACTCACAGGCTTGGAGTCCGTGTGTGTGTGGCAAAGGCGTTTTTTTTCCTCACAAACAAACAGAAAAAAACTCATTAGGTAATTTACAGCAGGTTTTGATCAGTTTTTGCTCAACATTAGCAGGCTTTATGCTCCATATTTGGACCTGGTCAGGAGCTGGAGGTCATTTGAAGAGAAATAATGTGACATTCCCATGACAAAATGGCTGAAGCTACTGACGGATGGTTGGTTTGGAAATGAATTAGCCCTAAATTTCCCTCGTTTGTCAAAGTGGCATAGGAACAAAATAAATATTCAGCCTGAGAGGGAGGAGATCATCACCCCACCCCCATCATCATTGCCACTAAGGCTCCCCATCTTCTCAGGGACGCGCAGGGGGGGAAAAAACATAAATGAGGGGTAGGTGGGTGCATGCTGTGAAGGGGGAAGATTTAAGACGGGGAGAGGCATCGAGAGCTTTTATGCTGTCTGAGTGAACGAGGTAAAGAGTGATGTCAAAGGTAGAGAAATGGATGGAGGGATCACTTCCCACCTACCTGAGTTCTGCACCTCATTCAGATAGCTGTCCTGAGCCACCATCTGCAAACAGAGATACAAGCTTAGACAGGAAGAAAAAAAACATAATAGCTTCTTCCACATTTTTATGGAAAATTAGGCCACATGCTGCAGAGGAAATGAATTAACTTTATCAATTAGTAAAGATGTTTCTGTTTTATTTCAAGGTCCACAATAAATATGGATAATCACAGACCTAAAAGGACTGATTAGAACAGTCCATACAGGAGATTCTGGGTGTTCATAAGGCATGGAGCAAAGCTAGAGTTGGTGCTTCAGGAGCCCTGACTCCAGAGAACAGGCTGCAGCTTTGTCATTGCACTCTGACCAGAGAAAATGTTATAAACATCTGCACTGGGCTAAAGAGAAAATAACTATTTATCTGTGGTCCAAAGTCTTCTTTTTAAACAAATGTAGACTTTACATTTCAATGGAAATCAAAGTAAAAAAAAAAAGTGAAGATCAGAGTAAAGGTTTTCAGTCAGTGCTATTTTTTTATCCATTTTCTGTGCTGATAGACAGAAAGTTTTAATGCACACCCTGCTTCCATCTGCTGACTAGCTCTATGGAGATCCTGATTAGAAAGTCCAGAAAGACTTGTACGACCCCACACAGCATATCAAAGAATGTTTTTCAATTTCTCTCAAAGTGCATTTTGGTGTAAAAACTATATATATACATGCAATAAATGTTGAGTTTCATAAAGAATATTCTGTATGCCAGATTCTTCTTTGTAATTTCCTATAATCTCTATGCCTTAGGTTATAAAAGATCTAATGTTGTGGTGTGTTTTCAGGGTCAAACAGCAAAAAATGTGGTATTCATGTCCACAGTGGATAAATTCAAGGAATGACACAAATGTTAACTTTGGCCTTAGCTTTGGTTTTCAAAAAAGAAACTGGCTAACTGCATTTAATTTATACTCATCTGCTGCAGTTTTCAGCACAAAAAGTCAACTCCAAGCGATGTACACGCTTTTCTGTTTGCAATATGTCAAGATTCACTGGCAGAAAATGAAAAAAACTCCTACAATTTGTGTTAAAATATTCAGAAATAGTGTTATTTGCAAAGATTGTGTACATAACACTAATATGAATTCAGTTTTCAATTATCATAGCATACTATTTTATATAAGTACATGAACCTTACAGGAAATTAGATAAAAACCAAAGAAGAACTGTACTGTACAGGTGCTGGTCATAAAATTAGAATATCATGAAAAAGTAGATTGATTTCAGTAATTCCATTTAAAAAGTGAAACTTGTATATTATATTCATACATTACATACAAACTCATATATTTCAGATGTTTATTTTGTTTAATTTTGATGATTACAAATGACAACAAATGAAAATCTGAAATTCATCATATCAGAAAATTAGAATATTACTGAAGACCAATAAAAACAAAGGATTTATAGAAATGTTGGCCAACTGAAAAGTATGAACATGAAAAGTATGAGCATGTACAGCACTCAGTATTTAGTTGGGCCTCCTTTGGCCTGTATTACTGCAGCAATGCGGCGTGGCATGGAGTCGATCAGTCTGTGGCACTGCTCAGGTGTTATGATAGCCCAGGTTGCTCTAATAGTGGCTTTTAGCTCTTCTGAATTGTTGGGTCTGGTGTATTGCATCTTCTTCTTCACAATACCCCATAGATTTTCTATGGGGTTAAGGTCAGGAGAGTTTGCTGGCCAATTAACAACAGGGATACCATGGTCCTTCAACCAGGTACTGGTAGCTTTGGCACTGTGTGCAGGTGCCAAGTCCTGTTGGAAAATGAAATCTGCATCTCCAAAAAGTTGGTCAGCTGCAGGAAGCATGAAGTGCTCTAAAACTTCCTGGTATGTGGCTGCGTTGACCCTGGACCTCAGAAAACACAATGGACCAACACCAGCAGATGACATGGCACCCCAAACCATCACTGACTGTGGAAACTTTACACTGGACTTCAAGCAACGTGGATGAAGTGCCTCTCTTCTTTTCCTCCAGACTCTGGGACCTTGATTTCCAAAGGAAATGCAAAATTTACTTTCATCAGAGAACATGACTTTGGACCACTCACCAGCAGTCCAGTCCTGTTTCTCTTTAGACGCTTCTGACGCTGTCTGTGGTTCAAGAGTGGCTTGACACAAGGAATGCGACAGCAGAAACCCATGTCTTTCATACGTCTGTGTGTGGTGGTTCTTGAAGCACTCACTCCAGCTGCAGTCCACTCTTTGTGAATCTCCCCCACATTTTTGAATGGGTTTTGTTTCACAATCCTCTCCAGGGTGCGGTTATCTCTCTTGCTTGTACACTTTTTTCGACCACATCTTTTCCTTCCCTTCGCCTCTCTATTAATGTGCTTGGACACTGAGCTCTGTGAACAGCCAGCCTCTTTAGCGATGACCTTTTGTGTCTTGCCCTCCTTGTGCAAGGTGTCGATGGTCGTCTTTTGGACAACTGTCAAGTCAGCAGTCTTCCCCATGATTGTGTAGCCTATAGAACTAGACTGAAAGACCATTTAAAGGCTTTTGCAGGTGGTTTGAGTTAATTAGCTGATTAGAGTGTGGTACCAGGGGCCATCAATTTTGAACCTTTTCACAATATTCTAATTTTCTGATATGATGAATTTGAGATTTTCATTTGTTGTCATTTGTAATTATCAAAATAAACATCTGAAATATATGAGTTTGTATGTAATGTATGAATATAATATACAAGTTTCACTTTTTAAATGGAATTACTGAAATCAATCTACTTTTTCATGATATTCTAATTTTATGACCAGCACCTGTATGTGTATAAACTGCATTTTCATATAAAGGAAAGAAAAAAGAAAGGCAGTGCCAAGATAATTATTTGTTCCGCAGTGGAGTAACGGATCTCTCAGGCTATATGCATGTGGACAAAATTGTCGGTACACTTCTTTTAATGCAAGAAAAATCAACCATGGTCACAGAAATAACTTCAATCTGACAAAAGTAATACTAAGAATTATGCGGAAAAACAGGCAATTGCTGTAATCAAATGATCCCTGTAACTGTCAATGACACTTCTGCTCTTCTCAGCAGGTATTTTGGCCCACTCCTCATAATAAACTGCCCCAGTTTAAAGTTTGAAGGGTGTCTTTTCCAGACTGCTTTTTTCAGCTCCTTCTAAAGATGGCTAATATGATTTAGATCAGGGCTCATAGAAGGCGACTTCAGAATAGTCCAATGTTTTCCTTTTACCTATTCTTTGCTGTTTTTGGGTCGCTATCCTGTTGACCTGCAACCAAGCTTCCTGACCCTGGGCAGCTCATCCCATGATACTTTTGAGATTTCAATGCAGGACCCTGCCGGAATTCAAAACGCCCAGTTCCAGGTGAAGCAAAGCAGCCCCAGAGCATAACAGAGCCTCCTCCATGCTTCACCTTACGGACAGTGTACTTTTCTAGATATGCTTCCTTTTTCCATCTGTGAACATACATGTAGAGCTGCTGTGCCTAGGCTAAAAGTTCTATCTTGTCTCATCTGTCCATTCGAATTTCTCCCAGAAGATTGGTAGTCTGTCAACATGCAGTTTGGCAAATTCTAGTTTGACCTTTTTATGATTTGTTTTTAACAATGCTGCCCTCCTTGTCCGTCTCCCATTAACTCTACTTTGGCTCAAACAACAAAGGATACTGCGATCTCACGCTGATGTTCCTTGAGCTTAAAGTTCATCTTTAAGCTGTAGAAGTTTTTCTGGACTCTTTTGTTACCATTTATAATATCCATCTCTTGGATTTATCATACCTTTTCTCATGTGGTCTCTCTAATGTTCCTGAGGTTTAAGCTCATCATCAAACATCTAACAAAGCTCAAGGTAAAGCCTTTGGTCCTTTTCCCAGCTGGCAGCCCACAGCATGTTTAAAGTCATGGCTCCGTTCAACCTGATCCATTCTTCTCTGTGCTCACCTGAGGCGAACAAAGACCTCAACGTCTTGACCTGTTCTAAGCCAAAACAAGGCTTTGTTGGGCTACTCTATAAAGCTTGGAACTCGACGCTAATTCTGACATTTTAAATTGAAAACGCTTCCTGGATGGGAAGCGAAACCTCTTCAAACATTTAAAACAAAGTTTGTTTTTTTTACGTTTTTTGGAATTTGCAATATGCAGATTCTGTGTAAATAACTGTTTAACTTTCTCCTCTTTCCTTAGAGTGTTCTGTAAGTGGGTAAAACAACTTCAGAAAACCATGACACACTCGGTTCAAACACAGTTAAAAAAAAACAATGTATGAACGTAATTTTTGTTAGGGTTCCTGTTTGTGGGGTTTGTTTTGTGTTCTTCTTTTTGTTTCTCCTTCCAACACTAGATGGTGCCCCTTCCCCGTTTGGGCCCCCTCTCACACCTGCGGCTAGTTTGGTCATCACCAGAGGAGTATTTGAGCAGCGGACTGTCACCACCTTGACGCCAGAGTGTTTGCCAGATTTGGAAGGCCCTCCTGATCCGCTGGATAAGTCTGGTCCTGCTCCCCCCTTGGAAGGAATTATTCGAGTAACACTGAGCAAGCGAAAAACCTGACAGTTTGCTCCATTGCTCCTCTGGACCTATCACAGGCCTGCCTTGTCCGCCCTCCAACGAGTTCAACCATCTCAGGTCAATACCCCCACAAACTGAACCCAGGAATCAACCAAGGACCCCGTTATTGTTTCCGGTTCCGGTTCAACAGACCGCTGGATTTTCCCCTGCAGAGAATCCCCATCTCTTTGATCTCTCCGAGAATCTCCTTAGTTGTCTTTCTCCTCGAGCTCAGAAAACCCAGTCAGGTCATTCTGAGGACCTCCTTAGTTTTGTCTTTCCACTGCTGAGAATCCCTTTTAGTTTAGCCTCTCTGAGTTTCTTGTCTTTGCTCTCTCTGGTTTCCTTTTCAGTCAATAAACTGGTTATCTTTTATGCTATGTTCACACCGGACACAGCAAGAGCAGCGAAATCGCGTCTGCTGCTTAATTTTTGCTGCTTGTACCAGTTAGTTCTGACGAAGCAGCTTTGCTGCTCTGGCTGCTGGCTGCGCGG